TTCATGTCACTGCCATCGTTTTTCAGTAGAATGGAGAATAAAACGTCCGGATTAATAGTGTTACTAAGCTTAAGATCTGCGACAGGTTTATCGATCTCTTGTGTGGTGAAAATTATGTCGCTTAGACATTCGTCTGTTTTACGTGGGAAATCCACAACCTCATCGTTCTCTAAGGTGTACAATCTCGCGAATTGCTAGCTAAACAGTTCACATATCACCTGATTATTTTCGTAAGCGATGCCGTTTAAGTATATTATTCTCGGATAGGCTGTTTTGGAGTTCGTCAACCTTCTTTTGAGAAGTTTCACTATTTCTCCTGAGTTATGCGGTGCCTGGATGGCCTGCATTTCTTTGTTTTTGAGCCCTATATTTCTCAACTCTTCAATTCTACTGAGAAGGGACGTAACGGCAATTAATGACGATAAGTCATGATATCTGTAGTATTTTATCGAGTGCTTCCGTGGGCTTCTTCTAAACGATGTCGGAATATAATCGCTTTGGGGGAATCTGAAGCTAAGAATCTTCTCGGGTGCAATGACGTCATGAATTGAGTTAATATTCTGATAAAAGATGTTAAGAATTGCCTCTAAGGACTCGTTCGAAAAGTACGAGTCCCAATTAGAACATCTAATTAGGTACTGATACAAGTCCCAGTCAGTATGTGTGTACAATCTCATAGGTATCTTGCCAGCTTCACCTCTGCGTTTTGTTTCAGAAAAGATGTCAAAAGAACACACTACTATTTTATGGTCACTACCTGGAAATTCATGCCCCACATGTACTGTAGACGGTGTTATGTTGTTCGTGAAAATAAGGTGTAGGATATTTGCGGATCTCGTGGATGAGTTTATGTGTTGTGTCTACCCTCCTGTGAGGGTGGGATTCATCCGATTATAATACCTTTGGGGTCTCAGAGTGAAGACCATGATACTTCTGGCATGTTGTAATCACCTCCGTTAATTTTATAACTGAAAGGAAGATTGGCTGTAACATTAAAAATATTGCTGAGCATATTATCATATTCCCTGCTGGATGAAGGGGGTCGGTATACACAACCCACAAGTATAGGTTTACTTCTGACAACTTTTATTTCGACCCAAATCGAGTCATTGAGTTGTGACAGAATTGGGTTACTAAACCGGGTTGCACTCATGGATTGTTCACAGTAAATTAGCGTTCTACCCCCAAGACCTGTCTGTCTGTCCCCTAGAAACGGTTGTATTTATCAATCCTTGGGCTGTCATTGGAGATTTCACTTGTGCGTCAGGCTTCCGTGATCATAATCAATGACGGTCTGCATATAGAGGCTAATGTACCTAGTGTTAAGTGTTTGCTTAGAACTGATCTCGCATTTACTAGTAGATAAAAACCGGCTCTGCGGTTTCAGTGAGTGGACAACATCTTGGTAAAATAATCCGTGAGTATCCTCTATATACATGTTATCAGACTCATTTACCAATATCTTTGGATCATAGGAAGACTTAAGGTAGGTTTTCGAGGTGGTAGTCAGGGATGGTCTTTCGTTTGGGTATGGTATGCAGTGAGAATCACCAGTATGATAATCAGATATTGATATGTCAAAGATATTAGTATCCGCGTTTGGTGTCGACACTGTGTCAGCTATCTCCCGGGAAATACGTCTTGCCCTAGCTGTATACTGTTCGCTGTGCCTGCAAGGAATTGATCTGATATCATGCGTGCAATAGGCATGATGCTGGGTGTTTCTGTTAACTGACGCTGGCGAAAATCCTGCCCGAAGGTATAACCGATATGAGTATTCGGTAATTTGTTGCCGGTGTAAGAATGAAGTGTTAGTATCTATTTCGGATTGTCATCAGACCATAACAAGTTTTGTGCAGAAATTGGCACATGCTCCCCACTGGATACATAAGATGTATGATTGGGTTCTGTTGGCTTGCTAAGTGTGGTCTGTGGCCGATGTTTTGGGGATTTTCTATAACTTTCAGTCGATAGAACATTAGAAGTGGGCTGGCTAACAAGGGGTTTACGTAGTGGATGCGCAGAATAATACCTACCACCTTGCTGTGCTGTTTGTCTAGAATTAGTGGTTGAATATAATTGACTATCCACTTGACACCAATTAGGCCTACCCCTAGGAGCTTTGTTTACCATATTTGACCTTCTCTTAGAAAGATGGCTTAGAGGTACTTCGTCTCTATCATATCAAAGGGCTTTCTTGCTCCGAGTTCAGTATTTAATTAATTTACTTCTTTTTCCCCTTTCTTATGATCAACTGGTTGATGATGGCTAACAGGGCAGCCAGCACATGCCATGCAGGGTTTCTGTGGCTTGGACACCTCATGAGCTTTAGTTTTCTTAATGGAAATGGAAACGCCTAGAAAACTTGCCAACTTGATTAGCTACATTCGACTGGTGCTTCACAGTGTATAGATTGTCAGACTGAGGAGTAAGTAACTTATAAGGGGATGGTTAGAACACTAGTGGGATGGGTTTTGATTGTTTTGGGGCTCTTGACTTTTGCGTCAGTGTGAAAACGATATATTTCAATACTATTTTCCGTTGACTCATCTATGTCCACCATTTCAGTGTCAGCATCAGTATCATTATATAATGCTTGGCTAACATTAGCTGGTGCCTGCGAAAATGTCTGATGCATGCCGTGATCAGGTATTTCACTAGACGGAATAACGCATGGAACATCATCTACAGTTGTCCTATTAGAGTTATCAGCATTCAGTGTTCCTGAGCGGCATCGTCTTTGGCATGGCGTTAAATCAGGTGCAACCCTAATGTTAGTGTATCGTGTTGAAGAGCCTATTGTCTTGCCAGATTTTAGAAAATTCCTGGATTCTTCAGTAGTCCTGGACTTGAAAAGCACCGGACACTGGTGGTTTGCAGATTTCTTACGAAGACGCAAAACTTGACATTCTGTCAACGACATATTACAAGCCTTTAGACACGAAGTCTCAAGTACGGCAATCGGCTCTCTGTCTGGAATGTTATAGGCCAAGACGTTATGTGAAGACATAATCCTCTTAACAGTTTCAGCAGCCAAATAGTCAATTATGCGCTCGGATTTGATTAGTGATTCAAGACAGATGTTTTGTGATGGGTCACACAGTTGTGTGAGAGGCATAATGCTGTCAAACTTGCTCTGTTGTTCTGCTATTGACTTCCGAAGTGTTAGCGAATCATTTTTGATACAAGCCACATCCTTCGTCAGTTCCTCCATGATACCAGATGCCATAACTGTGGGTGTGGCTGGTGTAAAAAGTGTAAAATCGTCAACGGAGCTGAGGCCTTCAGATGGTTGACTATCATTAGATCTCAGTCCCTTAACGGTACTTACACGTTTGATAGACTTAAACACTACAGAAACAAGAAATTTCACAATTTCTGGAAAAACAGCCTTGAGGATATAAAAATAAGATAGCTGTATTATCGAAGTATCAAAACAACAACAGTAAACAGATGTATATTGTAAAATAAAAAGTCAAACTTTCCTTTACAGTGCTTGCTGCGGATAAAATCCTGAGTTCCACGTGGTTAGAGAGGGTATCCGAAGATTCCCGTTGTAGATTTCGCCAGTGAATTCTATATGTTGCTCCAGTTGACACAATACAATCCTTGTTGACTATAGATATCTGGATATGTCAGGAAAGCGGCTAATTTCAAAAATATTAAGAAAAGATGATTCACGCAGAAACTGAACACCTGTAGCGCAACAGTTCATATTCCAGCACTGCAATTGCATATGCATCTTAAAGTATGTCTCAACAAGGGCATTAGCAACAGTACAGCTAACCAAGGTTCTTGCCGTTTCTGTCAGAAGACCAACCAAAAGAATGAGTTTCCTACGAAATTTCGCAACATATCAGTACAGTGTGCATTTTAAGAGTGCCACATGATCATTGGAAGCTTTGTTCCATAAAGCAATAACTTTCACAGGTACTTCACTAAAATGATTTTCTCACGTGACTGTGTAATTTTCTATTTGTTATGTGTTGATATAACCCATAAACTTCTTTAAATAAGTTCTGAGTCAGATAGCTTTACATTAAAAGGACCGGGTCTAAGGTTTCTCACAACCGTCAGTAGTACAGATGTTTTGATTAGACACTAGTCAGTAACTAGTATAACATGTCTAGCCCTTTCTTTGGTGCAGACTGAATTCTGTAAGTTAAGTTTGAAGTGTAGTAACCATGCTAGGTAGCATACCATCATCACGCACTGTGAATTGTTGGTATTAGATGGTTGGAGGCAGTCGACAGGGAGCCTTGGCTGTCCTAGGTTTCACGCTATTTGCCACTCACCAGTTAGCGAGGCGTACCTAAAACCTGGAGGGAACTCATGTCCCTTGTGAGATTTAAACCCTCATCACCCAGTGCTGAGGTCAGACTCGTTACCACTGAACTATTCGGGCTCGCGACTGACCTCCTGTAACACTGTATTGGATGTATTTGATCGCACACTAGTCAGTAACTAGTGTATTGTGTCTAGTCCTAGCCGCAGCACGGGTTGATGCGGGTTCGAATGTCCAAAGTGAAATGGGCTTCTTAGCGGTTGAAGATAGGCCTTACTGACAGGTGCTGACCAGCACAAAACGTAGGTCCAAGGCTTCCTCCCTATTGCTTCCAACAAGAATACAGATGTTTTTTAAATAACAGATCATAACCCTTAATCAGATAGTGTAGAAATGTATTACAATGGAAGTAGTAATTGAAATATTCGTTATGGCAATGCACTATAATAATATGGTAGAGAAGTATAGCGGGATCAAAACTAACAGAGTTTATATGCCAACTGATGTTCTACAGGGAAGCAATTCTTTGACACGGTGTTGGGGCATTAGGGGGGGAAAGAAAGGCTAAGTAAAACCGGTACGGTCTGTGTGATCCAATTTTCAATGAACTTTTATAATCCCGATTTTTTTGGCTAGACAACCGTAATGTCTTCAAATATTGTTACAGTGTGCCAGTTTTCTAACAGGTTCAAGGTCATACATCAATCGGGATTATTCTGCTTAGCGATGGCGGGTGTTGTTCTTGAAACTCTGAACGTTTGGAAACTGGCTTCTTTCGGAGGCCTGATGTTAGTTGTGCAAATTTGCTTTTTCCTCATTGGTGGCCTTATTGCTCCAGCACCCAATACCACGGATCAAATTCTCATGTCAAAATGCATAGACCGCTCCGGAGATCCTCTAAAATGGCATTTTGCTAGACCACTTTCAAATGAAAGTTGCCAAGATATCCTTCCAGATGGCGACATTGAAGAAGTTGTACCACCAAATGTGGACGCTAGTCAGATCGTGTTTATGGCTCAGTTCCCACACCCACGAGACGGAATGGATTTGCGTATGACCCGGTGGTTTCAGCAAGTAATGGGTGTGTTGATGCTGGATATCAAACAGAAATATTCGCAGGAGGTGAGCTTTAAAGATGTGTTTCTTTGTTATTGAAGGCCAGCAATTTACTTACTTCCAAAGGTGTGGATTCACCGGCACGTCAGATTCGCATGATGTAGCGAGGAAAGAACAAAAGGCTCAACAAGGATATCTTCCTGGCGACTTCATCTCGAAAAGCTGTGCGATTACATTCTTACTCATCGACTCACGTGGTTACTATGTGAACAGCTTTTGAGGATGAAATCGCCGGGAAGATATCTTTGCTGAGCTGCTTGTTCTTTTCTCTCCAGTGTATTGACGATTATGATAGTTAACCTTAACATTGGCTGATGCTCTTAAAGTGATGTTAATTGATGAATATCTGTCTGCATGATCTGTGCACACTCACTTCTACTTAAGAAGGTTGAGAGGAAAATTGACGCATGTCTGATCTCGCCTAAGGCTGCAAAGAAACCACTTACTTCATAGGTTTTCAACACTAAATTTAGCGTTTTCGTGATGAGAAGTCGGAATCCTGCATAAATTCTGAATGAAGAGACCATGTATAACATTCCTGTTTACTTAAACTCAATATTTCCAAAGCTGTTGTAACTTACTGATTTCGTGAGATTGGTTATTGATTCCGTGACCGACATGTTCAGCTGATGTGTAGAAGTGGAGAGGAGTGACTGATTGTTAGTTTCTCTCATGATTAGTTCACTTCCTTTCGTAATTATGTCTATTTTGTGCAGTGTTACCCGCTGAGTTTTTTATTTCAACTCCGGTTACTGCTGTCAACTTTGGTTTTGTTCATTTCTTTTCATGTATTCTCCTTGTATATATTGATATAGGCTGCTACTGGTTGGTTAAAATCACACTGAAGTATAATATTTGTTTTCAGAATTGTGGATACTTGTCCACATTTAACTTGCTTTTTATATGAATTTGGGGTGTTGTAATAGGGGTAATCTTAGGAGTAGTGTCTCGGTTCTTTGTGAATTGCGTGGGATTTCATTGTCGCCAGATGTCCCGGATTCGCTTAACAGTTCAGCTGCTGGTCGAATCAGCCAAGTAGTAGCATCAGAGCTCATGCAGTGTATGGTTGATTTCTAAGTGTTTTAACCTGCTTGTAGTAGTTGAGCAACATATTTTTGTTTTCCCTTAATATTTATAATTGAAAGTTATCGAAACTATATTTAAGTGACTATTTAGTGATCTGTAGCATGTTTATTAGCGAGCACTGTAGTGGAAAATATTAACATTGCCACCAATTTCGAATTTTCTCTCTTCATTTGTAATACAGTTAGGAAATACTGAAATCACATTCGATCTACGTCTCGGATACCGTAATCGTAATGATCCTCGACACGTTTGGCATGAATTGGCTCGTTCAGTTGAGGTTCGGCCTCTGAAGTGTACACTTGATCCGGAAGCTAAACGTCATCATGGGCATTCTCATTCACTTGATGAGGGCTTTTACTATGATTGTGAGGTTTTACCGCTGTTTACGTTGGCTAGCTGTCATCATGAAGAATATTTGTTGAATTTGAGAATTCCTGTAGACGAAAAGCACAAAATTAACGTGGGTATTGGAAGTATTCAGGATGTATGGATGGTAGAGATTCACCAAAATGGAGGGTTTACAAAGGTAAGTGGGCTTTTTGGAAAAATATTTTAGTGCTTATCTGTATATTAAATTAGTGAAATTGTTCCAGGGAGTTTTGATTATCGGTCTTTAAGGTTTACTTTTCATTTCCAGTGTGTGGTGCGTTGGCTTTGGTGCTTAACTTCCATTGGGTGCCGTGTTTGGACTCGGCTCATCTGCTTACAGCCCTGCTAACTGTGTATTATCATTAGTCCGCAAAATACTGTCTTATAGTCTTTATAAAAACATCCGTTTCTGATACTTAATTTTCCATCTCTATGATCATTAAGTATTCTACCGGTCAGTTGTTTAAATTTTAGGACAATTGTCATCCAAGGGGTTGCATGTTTATTTGTTAGACGTACTTCAGTATTGAAAAATAAATTTCATCATTTGTACTCGGAAGACAACTGGACAGATCACAAGAGTGCTAGAAGACTGACTGCAAAGTTAAAATCTGACTGGTATGGATTAGAGCTTAGAATAAAAATGCTAGATATATTAACTCCATCAGATAAATTGCAAGGAAGTCTAAGCAGTGTTACATTCAAGGGACTTTATGTAACTCATAAATCATAAAGTTGTTTGTGTACTAAATCAATCATGCTTGTTGTATAAAGCATGTGGCTACCCGAAATCTCTACGCTACTATGAAATAATGAAATGTTCATGCTTGAATAAAAAGAAAGTCGCTGGATACACAAACTGATTTTGATCTAAATAATTTGATTACTTCAACTCTCAATTTTAACTCCCTGCAGTCAAACACTTGAAGTTATATGTCTCAGTCACACATAGCATCATGTCTTACTCTGATCATTTCAAGGTTTTCGTCTTCAAAACATTCAAGCTAATTTAGTGAGTATCACTAAATATGCATAACTCATTTTTAACCATCTCTGTTGATGAAGATTCATAAAGTAATTCCCTTTTCTTATATAGTATGCAGGTAAACCACTCGATAGCTTAGGTGGTTCTCTGAAAAAAAAGTACGATGAATGTTAGATTAGGAACAGGTTCTCACCTTCAAATAATCTGGTGGTTAGAATTTTCACAAACAGACACGCTTAAATTGATTATCTCAGTGATTTTCAACATCCACCTACTTCTTGTTATGCTATACATTTACTCCCAAAGAGGTTCTTCGTATTGGTTTCTTCAGTCATCTAAAATATCACTACTTTTTAATGCCGACAATAGTCTTTTCTTTTCTGTCCAATTAAGATTCTTAAATATTCGTTAATGGTTTGGTTTCTCCTTAACCTTTAGTGGAAATCGGTGCTTCCCTGCAGGTTATCGTTGGCACTCCGTTTTTAGAAATGGCTACCATTCACTTAGTATTATATACCGCTTAGTCTTTAATCCATGGTTCCCAACAATATGATCATATTCAGTTTGCAGATAAATATTAGAGAATCGAGGTACATTTTAAATCCCCTGTTGTTTTATAACCACATGCCGAAGGTAAACTGATGACCCATCTCTTTGAATGATTCTTGTAACCATTCAGTCTTTGAAATCAATCCTCAGTAGCTGTAAACAATTACTGTGAAGTAGTATTGTACTAGTTTAATTAGATTTTAATGAGAAGACAATTTTTGTAATGGACAGCTACTGCTTATAGTACTAAAACTAAACACATATCTGAATTCGACAGCTGTGCTCACCCTGGAGAAGCCTGGAAGAATATTCAGTCAGCTATAGATACAGCTGTAAAAGCTGTGAATAAGGCAAATCCAAAGGTGAGTAAAAACCACTGGATTTCGACTGCCTCATCCGAACTGATAGATGCTAGAAGACTTATTCCGGCGAGCTCCGAATTCAATGAGGAGCGAAAGCTGCACAAAAGGAAACTTACTAAAAGTCTCCGCAAGGACCGTGAACAGTGGTGGGTGACAAAGGCGAAAGAGATGGAAAAAGCATTGGCGATAGGCAACACTAGGCAACTCTTTAGACTCATCACAGAATCGGGCGGGAGAAGGCAATTCATAAGTGAGACTATTTCCGAGAAAAATGGCTCCTTAATTAACTCTCAGGATAGACGCCTTGAACGCTGGAAAGAACACTTTGAGGAACAATTTAACTTGCCTACAGCCACACTGAACCTCCCCGCCATCCACCACGTACCCGAATGGGATATAGACACTGGCCCGCCGTCTGTAGGTGAGGTTATAAAAGCTATCAGTAATTTGAAACGAGGCAAAGCGGCAGGACCCGACGGAATTATTCCGGAGGTGTTTAAATATGGGGGTGACATACTAGTTTGTAGATTAACTGAGGTACTAGGCAAAGTGTGGGAATCAGAGACAGTTCCATCAGTATGGGGTAAGTCACTTATTATACCGATATTCAAGAAGGGAAATAAGTCCTCGTGTGATAATCATAGGGGGATCAGCCTAACGAACATAGTCTCTAAAATCCTAGGCTCGGTAATCATGCATAGACTAAGCAGAACTCGGGAGGAACAGACAAGGGAAAATCAAGCAGGCTTTAGACCAGGTAGAGGGTGCATAGATCATATCTTCACTCTTCGACAGATTCTAGAACATAGACACACTTTTCGGCGTCCAACAATTGCCATATTTCTTGACTTGAAGGCGGCCTTCGACTCAGTGGATCGAAAGGTACTATGGCAATGTCTGACTGTGAAGGGAGTGCCAAGAAAGTACGTTGCACTAATCAAGGCACTCTATTCAAACTCACGTAGTCGTGTAAGGGCTTATGGGGAATTGTCATCTGAATTGGTAACAACCAGTGGTGTCCGACAGGGATGTCCACTTTCCCCATTTCTGTTTAACTTCATCATAGATATGCTAATGGAAGTATCCTTAACTGAACGTAGTGACTTAGGAATCGACTTGTTACCAGGGAATAAACTTATGGACTTAGAATATGCAGATGACATAGTCCTGTTAGGGGAGGATGCTGAAAAAATGCAGAGTCTTCTGAACACCTTGAGCAGCAATCTTCGTATGTTTGGCATGCGATTCGCCCCTGCAAAATGTAAGATGCTGCTACAGGACTGGACCACGTCAACCCCTAACTTAGTGATAGGGAGGGAAGTGATAGAACATGTTGACCACTTCACCTACTTGGGAAGTTGTATTAGCACCAACGGACTGATTGGCGATGAAATCTCAGCACGGATCCGAAAAGCTCGAGCTGCTTTCGCTGACTTACACCATCTCTGGCGTAGGCGTGACATGCGGTTATCAACCAAGGGACGTGTGTACTGCTCAGCAGTTCGCTCCGTCCTTCTCTATGGCTCTGAAACATGGCCAATACGCGTTGAAGACATGAAAAGGTTGACTGCTTTCGATCATAGATGTCTGCGATCTCTGTCTCACGTTAGGTGGTTTCACAAGATAAGTAATGTTGATGTTAGGCGTAGAGTGTTGGGCAAAGAGGGAAAATCAATCGACGAGGCTATAAAGTTACATAGACTAAGATGGCTAGGTCACGTGCTGCGCATGCCTAACCACCGCCTCCCCCGACGGGCATTGCTAGCTGATATAGGTTCAGGTTGGAAAAGAGCCAGTGGTGGCCAAACAAAAACATGGCATCAATCCATGAAATCCTTGACAGTTAAACTGAGTCAGGTAGGGAGATGCAGACTCCCGGGTTGGGGCCCTCGGGACTCTAGGAATCAATGGCTGGAGACAATAGGTGACATGGCTCAAAATCGTTGTCAATGGCGCAGATGTATTCAGTCTCTGTAATCTTTCATATTCCTTTCTACCATTACCCATTCTGTTTCACTCTTATACTTGTCAAACTCTATTAATTCTCTTCACTCATCTTCTTGTCTACCTCTGTGTGCTATTTGGAACGTGGCAACTCGAACTGCTGCACTTCAGTGCCAAGTTTTATGTTGAATCCAGACAGACAAACTAAGTCCAGGTACTGTACATTACAATTATCTTTAGAGTAGCTGTATTAAAAAAGGTATGGAATACGACTATTGGTGAATTTACATTATTTTTACCTTTGTTTCATACATGTATAGGTATGGTTTTCCTTGAAGACATTTTCATTTCCAATTGTATTATTGGCTCTCATGTTTTTTGGCAGTCGTGTCAGGGAGTTAGAACGTCCTCCAAATGTATTAGAAAAAACTATATTTACTTTGGGAATTTGTTTGTCGATCTTGAATTGTCCAGTTGAATGGTTGTCTCTTATGTAAGTGTTTTTTATGGAATTTATCGGTAAACATTTCTATTTGATACTGCTTAACAGTCACATATTGAGCTATTTCGTGTCAAGGTCGATTGTTTAAACGTCGACAGATGAAATGGAGGGTTCATATCTTTGTCTACTGTTTAGTATATCGATGTATATTTCAAATCACTGTGCAACATTCGTCTTTGGACTGTTCACCTTCTAGATGTATAATTGCTTATGAACAGTTAGAATTAATCTTCAGACTAACCTGAAACAAGTGTCGAGATTATAAGCCATGTATTATATATGGTTGTATTTGGGCAGTGGTAGTCAAACCAAAACATAACTTTATCAGTCAATGAAATCCACAGCAGTTAGTCTAAGTCACGTAGGAATGTGTAGACTTCCTGATTGAGGTCTTTGGGACGGTGAAAACCAATGACTGGAGACAATTGGTGATATGGTTCAGAATCGTACTCAGTGGCTTATGATATCCAATAAAACTTTTATTCTTCCATATCGCTATTCTTTTTACCTCATGTTTCTGTTTATTATCTCTTTTGCATTTCTTTTTACTTTCTGTTGCTTTGTGTGCTGCATGGAGTGTGGCGACTTGAACTGCTGCACATCAGTGCAAAGTTCTATGTTGAAACCATTCAGCCAGTCAGACTTCTGATTGTTTACAGGATTTCATCATGAGCTAACTTCGTTTAAAGAACCTTTGGAACACCTTGGAGTACTGGACATCTGTCTCGTCCTAGTTTGGGACTCTCCATCAGTACACACCCACCGGTTTTCAAACCTTCCGGTTACAAGGCGATCTCGTGGACCATAAAGTCATAGGGTTCGAACCCCGTCGGGTGCGCACCACTGAAGATTCCCAGACTAGGACAAAGCAGCTGTCTAGTACTCCTAGGTTTTCCAATGGTTCTCTAAACAGTGTCAGCTCATGATGAACTTCTGCGACCAATCAAGTCCCCTCAAACCAACACTTTTAACTGTGTTATATATAAGGTAAGATTTTGTTAATTCTAGTTTAATAATACTTTCATAAAGCTGTTAGCATTAAATGGCGAAATGTCAATAAAAATAATATCTTTTTGCTCTTCTTCCAAAGCCTCAGGATGGTCGGGGGTGGGTGCCTTGCGCTGCGGGTTGGCCACCCCTCCGCACACCTGAAATGCTCCCATATGACCGGGCGTCTTACATAGCCTCTCCTGAGGAAGTCCTACTCACTGCCTTCACGTGGCGGAGGTGTTTCTCACCAAAGTGAGAGGGCGAAAGCGGATGCCCGGCGCTCTCCACCGGGTTGACTGTCCACTGGATGACAGTCTAGGGGAGATGGCTAAACCCTGATTCCAAACCTCCAACGACTGGCGTATGAAGCTCACTGGAGCTCACCGGCAGACGTATGGACAAAGGGCTTGTTGGATGTCCTGGATGTCTGGCCCCATTCAGAAAGGCGTATGAACCGAACTCCGGTCACCGGCTGCCAATGGATAGTGGACTCCTTACTCCACTCCTACTGCCTTGTAGGTCACACTTGGTTGTGTAAAGGCTAGAGCTGCACTCTCAAACAAAAGGCCGAGCGATGCTGGGGACATCACTCGTACCAAATTCCCATGAAACTTCATGAACTCTCTTACAAATTGCCGCGCCTGGGCAGCGATGATTCGAGACGTTCATGAAGCCGGCTCATCCTCCCGTAGGAGATAGCCGAAGTAAAGAGAGAAGAGAGAAATACAGAATCTTTCACAGTAATTTCCAGTAATAGTCTATAGTTTCAGCATCTGCAGTGATATGACTCTTACCATACAAACTTACTGAGATAACAGATATCTGGTACTTATTTTTATCCTTCATTTCTAGAATGTCCTGAAGAATATATGTATCTCGGCAGTTCCTTCGAAGTAAGACTTCTATCAATAGTAGCTTCCTCTTTACTGATGCCTATTCTAACAAACGTCCTATTGGAGATTCAGAGTCCGCTTTTTCAGGTTTCAGTTTATGATGCATTGTTATCTATGGGAAATTGTCGTGACAAATTTTCTGTTAGACAAAAATTTTAGGAAACCAGATCTTTTAGAAGGGTTATCATGATGTTTCCCGGCTAAACAGCTAGAGTTGGAACTTTTCAAAAAAGTGATTGGTTTTTATTCAACCTGAAAGATGCTTATTATTTTGTAAACTCTCGGCAGAATGCCTCCACATGTTTAGAAGTAGACAACAGCATTGCTTAATGGCATTCCTGCATTATGTATATGATTGTCGTATGTCAGCGAATCGGTATCAGAATGCTTGCCAGCCACGTACGTGGTCAGGGGTTCGATTTCCTGTCGACGCAATCCTAAACCTCGGTTCACGGGTAATACGCCTGGCTAAAAGGGTAGGCTGGGCTTGAAGCTAGCGACTCCACTCCTGAAAAGGACAACACCACTCTTACTGAAAATTCAAGGGTCAAACTTGATGGTGTATGTTCCTCTTGGGACGTAAATGAGTGGATAAGAAATATGTGGTTGTCATTCCCGAAAATTAAATTATATTCTCCTGACCGATAATTTATCCACATAGATTCAGTGCTGTTAACATTTATTGTGATCAATGTTTGTTAAAATTACAATCACTTACTTATTTCTCCATTTCTCTATAGATACAATTTTTCCTTTTGGTTAGTCTTGAGTGATATACGTCAGGGTTTATTTTATGCTACACTTGTCTGCTTTTGGCTTGTTTTCACCGGTGAACATATGATGACAGATCCAGCTAGTCGTGTAAAGACTAATTGTCTAGGACTGAAAGGTTTATACTGGCCAAGACTACTTCTTGTCGCTGGTTGTTGTACTGCTTTATTCATATTCGAATTAGCTGAACGTGGTGTACAAATACGCAATCCATTTTATAGGTAAGTAAAAAGATGTTTATCCTTGATTTGTTAATATATATATAATATATATATATATATGATTGTTTCTTTTGAAAACAATCATTGTATGCAAATCAATATTCAAGTAGTGTTAGTCTACTTAGATAAGGCTTTACCTGCTTGTCTGTGTAACAGTTGATGAAAACCTCAAGGGTGTCTGTATGATGTTGATAGATTACGTTTTATCATTATCACGGATCTGAAAGCTTCGTCCATCATAACTAGTTTTGAAAATTAAGCGTTGGCATGAGGGGAAAACATTCCTTTCAATAAATTCTCTACGGATTCTTACAGTTATAAAGTAAAATATTGTTACGATAATAGCCAGTTATGAGATGGATACATTTTCACTTAGATTAACCGATGAGTTTCAGGGTAATAAAATAAAATAGTATTTGTGTGACAAACATGCTGGGCTAAATGTATGTACAAAATGGGGTGAGACAACGGGGGGTGCTAATTAATCATACATTGTGAAGAAGTAAAATCTACAAGTTAACTTGGCTGGTACAAGGTTAGTATACACTAAATAGGAGACAGTGAGATTGTGGTGGATAGTTCACCACAAAATAATCATTATGCAAAATAGAAGAGTTGGAATGATGTTTTGAAGAAAGAGACGATATCACCAATAATAAATGAGAATAATATAAATGGAAAATCTGGTATTATGCAAAGAATGCTAGGATGGAGCGTATAAATCGCAGAACGACTTCAAATATATGTAAAAGACAGGCGGACAGTGCGGGTTAATGACTTCAGAATGCTGTGGTACGCAATCCTAGAGGCCATGTCAGTGTCAGTAGCATATTCTGTATCTACCAAATGTAATAGAACTGAAGTTTCCCTGCATTTAATTTAATCTTTTCTGAACCAAGATAGTTCTCGAATCTGTAGACAAACATATCTGATTATAGCGGTATGTAACTAAAACCACGAGAACATTTAAAACGATAGTGAATACAAGATTATACAAGACATTGTTCCTTGTTGTTGTTAAGTGGTTGACTCGGTATTTCCTAGACTTTTGAGGCCTTAGGAAATAGTACTTGACATAAAGTCTTTAGTATATTATACGCAAGTTATGTACGAGTCGGTTACTATCACACAATCAGTTGGTACACGTTTCTTAGATGTATAGAGGGTTGGTCATAGTCTAAAGTAGTAACGTTACCAATGATTGTGTGATTACATGAGATAAGTTCAAATCTCGAAGAAATGTAGGGACTCTTCGGGGTTCTACATGATGTAAGCATTAACAAACATGAACTATAGATTCGTGGCTTCCGGTCAATTGACTCCATTTAATATTTCATAAGTAAATTACATCTAAGCCACTCGAATTAATCAATGGTGATTGTAGATAGTGTAATTCAAGATTGGTGTGTATTGTACAAGACTCATAGACTAGGAGAGAAAAGCTCCTCAGTACTCCATGTTTTCCATTTGTTGCTATTAGATTTCACGTATTAGTGTAGTAATTATTCCAGCACTTTACCAATCAAAGGAACACGTTGAAACTGTGGTAGTTGCATCTTAGTACGTATTGACCTTCGGAAAACAAGATTCATCACAAATTGCCTTCAGCTAGAGAACCATCGAAAATCAGGCGGTACTGGACAGCTGTTTCAGCCTTGTTTTGGAACTCACTCATGACTGCAGTACCAGCAATCTAATCTGTAAACTTCAGGTTACAAGGTGGACTCGTACACTTTTCAACCACCGGGACGGAATCCAGTGGCCCTTCAATTCTAACTTCTGTGGATCGGTGATTTTCAGCACCACTGATAGCCAATGTCATTGGCGAGTATTCGTCCCCACATCCAACTCGGTTGAACTCCTTTGATCATGACTTCTCATTAGAATTTCGGGCAACTTCATCCTGTTGTGAGTCGCTAGTGAGCATTAGACTAACTTTTCAAGTGTTGGTTCGAACAGTGCCCACTAATGAAGAGTCCCGAAAGAAAGACAGAACGGTCGTCTAGTACTCCCTTGTTTTTCAGTGGTACCCTTTCTAAAATCAATTCGTGATCAATCTTAAAATCAATAAAATCCCTGCAAACTGACACTTCAGAAAACAGTCATATGAGTGTAGTTGCTAATTGCAAGGTAGACATTATTAAGAATTGGTATGAGTAAACTAGACAACACAAAATGACTTGTTTCTCGTGGTTTGAGACTTTTCCCAAAGTTGTTTTGTTATGTACCAGTTGTGTCTCTTAATTTTGTTAACTGGGACGAGCGAGCTGCTTCATTAACTGACCGCCTTATCAAGAAGGCGACCACCTGGCCGAATTTTCTCTCTCAGATCTCACATCACAATTAAATCCGTTTTTTTTTTCCCCTTTTTTTATAATTATCTTTTTCTTCACTAAGCATATGGTCTCATCCAATTGCTGCTAAAATGGGTTTAACAAGTATTATCATTGGAGCACTGTGTGCATTTGCCTATATGATCTATCTAACTATACTTGTTGTACAAGCATTTACACAAATATTGGGTAAACGTCGTTTATTAAATAATCTACCCGTTGAACAACGTAAATATTATACTGGAGTTATTTATCGCTTTATGATACTCTTAACGTATACAATAATCTGTGCTGGTCTAACAGTCTCATTCTTCATCTTTAATCAGGTAAGTGGGAGATCCTTTTTTATGAGTTAATTCTTTATCGGTTCTACATTATGTGATAATTTAACAGATTAAGTAAGTTGTTTTTCGTGTCGGTAATTCAGTGGTAGAATGCTCTCCAGGACAGTCATGTGGTCCGGGATTTCACTCCCAGCTGGTGCACTCCTAAACCTCACTTAAGTTTGCTAACAAGTGGCAGTAAGCTTAGAAAAGAGGGAAGGTTGTTTGCTGAGGCTAACAACTCCATCGCGTAAGAAAACATTCTCAACGCTGCAGAAAAACAAAGCTTGATGCCCTGTGCTCCACTGAGGAATGTAAAAGAATGAAAAAATAACTGTTTTCCGGTGTACACTTCACCAAAGACTGACGTCAGTCAGAGAATTACTGAAAATCCAAAGAGCATTAAATAACTTACTGGTATGAGATTTTTCACAAATTCTTCAAGAATTAAGTTCAGGATTCTTGTGTTTCAAGGCGAGTACAGTGTCGTACTGTTACTAGGCTGGAACCTAATAAGCCACTGTTTTCATTTCTCGTGGTCGATATTAATCTATTTTATAGCTCATCTCGTTACCATTATTTGTCTAATAGGGCAGCTCGCGATTATAGTTTCCCATTGATGTTCGTTGTCTCATGATTTGTGCTTGAGATATTGCTCGTACACCTAGACTGAAGCAGGTAGGGACCAATCCTCGAGCCTTTTGCTAGGAGTCTGCTCCATAAGGCAGTAGGACTCCGTTCTCGTGGTCACTGGTGACCGTACAGGTTCACACACCATTCGATTTTTTCTGATTCTAGAGCCCATGCGTGCCTGAGCTTTGGAATTAAGGTTTTTCAGTTCCCTCAGGTGGAACCTCCATGTCCACCGGTTTGGCTGTAATCTAAGTAGATAACATGAATTAGTGGCTCAAGATCTCATCCATCGGGTGTGGCCAACAATCGTGATCAGTGACGAAAATGCTGCAGTTTCCTTCTTTCTCCCCTTTGTGAAAGCAACATGAATAATGTTGACTTACTTTTTAAATAATGTCCTTGATTTATTCTATCCCTAGTTCCCTCACATATTTTGCTGCTTTATCGTTTTTGTGTGGCATATCTCTTGGTATCCACGATATACCAAGTTTGTGTTTTACCCATCTTCATTCTCTAAATTTTAAAGTTGTAGTAATTCAGTGATTTTTGTTGCGTCATTATTCACCCTAGTGACGTCAGCAACATTAATTACAATGAAAGACTACTGAGTGTGTTTGAAGATTATTTGTAGCGTTTTTGATGTCACACAATGCTGTATAATTATATCGGCAACGCTTTGTATATACATAATTAAAATCAGAAAGAATAAATACTCCGCCTCCAATTTTTTGGATAATTACTAGAGCTCGTAAGACTAAAACTAAATCTTCAGCTATAACTTGTCTTCCCACACAGTTTCAGATGATAAAATAATTTTGAAGAAGTTCCAACGAACGTTTCTTAAGATAATTAAATCACATAAAGTCAAAGCAGAACCTTTTAAATAAAAGAAAAAAAAAGTAAATTATAGTTTTTAGTCTATGTGCCTACAAACTGTGTCAATATATTAATACATGTAGCTGTGATTCATTGGTTTGGGCGCATGACTTTCAACCAAGTGAGTCATGGGTTGGAACCCCGCTTCACTCACTGAGGTTTGGGCAGCCCCCAGATAATACAACCAACTTTCAAATAAATAGGTTTGGCTCATTGCCAATTGCATAGAACTACAGGTGGTTGTTGAGTAAGACATGTGTTGATGCGACGATAGTTTTACTTATATATTTAAAGACCAAAATTAAATTTACAATTCACAAATTTGCCAAAATTTAACATAACAACGTTTGCAAACTATTTATGCGTAAAACTACTTGAAAAAGGAAAATAATCCACACAGAACAAGATTGTTAGTTGAGTTTATCTCATATATAAACTTTGATATTGATAAAATTGTTGACTTCAATTAGTGAAATGTCAAAAAAAGATTAGGCTTTTTTCCAGTTTTATTTCGTGGATGGTGACTAGCAGTGGGATCCTGTAAGATACGTACTTCGTCCTATTTTGGACTCTTCGTCTGGATGTGCCTACAATCCCCAGCGAGTGACTGAATGGTGTTCCTAATGAGACTCGAACACTGGAAAAGAATCATTTCTAAAAGAGAATTCTTTCCCTTATTGTGAGTACCGTAGTTGAGTTATTGGTTTGTTTAATGAGTTTTCGAATGATTACTAAATGATTACGTAGTTTTGTTATGTACTCGTCGCTAAATTATTGCTATGTACTGGTCGAGAATTTAATAGTCCTGACGCAAGAAGGCGGAAATCAGAAGACCACTAGGTTTGCGATGATACTTCTATTTTCCAGACACAAGGAGAAGCAATAAGTGGTATCACACCAAAGTAAGTCAGTCACAAATTGTGAGAGCGAAATATATGTGAATGTCCAGACTGTGTGTGAACAAATCACTGGACAGTCTTAACATGAATGGCTAATTATAATGAAGTATCGATCCATATATACATAGCAAAATATAGCAGACATGTCAACAACCACCATATATGGATATATGTCACCAAGCAACGGACTGTCAACAAACACTCATATTATATATAATATAATATAAGGAGAATATACATTGTTAAAGGAGACAGGTTCATCAAAGTGAAATGGTCACAGACTAAGCTAGCAAACAGAAAGAGAGATCACCATACACACACATATATATGTGGATACATATCAAGTTTATAAATAATCTGTGAACTGATCTAGTTTTGTGCAGATGTATTTCTCTGGTGTAGGCGCTAGATTTCCAACTAACGGAGTCACCTGCTCGAACTTTGCTACACCGACCGAGGTTTGTGCAAGCAGATAGTATCGCGAAAGGCATCACACAATAAACATGCTCCTATTGCCAACGAAATGGAAACACTTCCATTTCCAGTTCTTCCTTCAGCAATGTAGTTGTTAGTTATTGTTTCATTTAAGTGATAGAACTACTAGAAATTATCGTATGGCCTTTGCGACATTGATTTGAACATAAGGCTTCAACAGGATACCTCCATTTTGTGCTGTTCTCTGCAGTCTTCTTAAATTGGTCCCTATAATTGCCCGTAGTCTGCGATCTCTCCCTCGCACGATTTTCTCCATGTCACTCTGAAACGCTCAACTCGAAGGCAGCTTCCCATTCGCGTTTCACTAGAGGGCCTGGCGTGCGATGTCACTTAACGATCTCCTCAGTGTGTGTCCGATCCTTTTCAAATCATCTTCGGCTTATTTGTCGAGCAATATGTTCTTCTTTGTTAGTTCGTTCCCAGAATTTCTTGTTGCCAATTCTTCCTGACTGGCCGTCTAACCACCTTCAATATGGAGCCAGCGAAGTCAGCTGTTGATAAATGTTCGTAGTAGCCTGTTGAAAACGAGTCAAGTTTTTGACCCATATTGAAGAACTGACTTTAACATTTTCTCTGAGCACCCGAATTTTGTTGTTTATACTGAGTTCAGAAGATTACCAAACTGATCTCAGAGTGATGAAAGCCTGTCTTGTCTTTTCGACTCTGGATTCGACATCCTGATCTGATCCGTTCCGTCTATAGTTGAAACAATGGTGCGTAGGTAAGTGAAGGGACTAACCTCTTCCAGATTTATTCTGTTGACGATGATTAATGCTTGTTGTTGGTTGGCTATCTCCATAACTTCTCTGTATTTGCTTTTTTTCTATCAACTTGTTATTTTTCACCTGTAGGTCCTCGAGTTAGTGTGAGTCTCTAGAGTCTTCTTATTGGTACGACGTATTCCTGTGTTCTCGTTCCCCACATGACATTTTTCGCCATAAATTAATAAGTAGTGGTACTACATGGATGTTAAGATAGTAAACGGTTGATAAGAATTAGAATGGATAGTTGTCGTTTGAAAGGTGTGTGCGCGTTAACCCAACTTATTAATAATGCTTACTTATGTAAATGATGTACATGTTTAGATAGCATTTTTAGGTTTGTACTATTTTTGTTTTTGGTATTATCCTTAACTTTCTACCTATAATTAATCTTTCATTCAACCTTACTCATTGAAGAATATGACTTGAAACAGTAGTAATTTTCATCACACTCTGTTCTTTGTGGTATTGTAACAACAGAAGCCAAGAGTCAGGCAACAGATCGTTTGTTAAGGAAATCAACTCGTATTTATATATATATATATATATATATATATATATATACATTTCATGTACTTATTCAAGCAGATAAACACAGTCTTCTGATTTGGTTGTTTCTTACAGAAAGTTGACTTTGCATCTCTTTGTGACTATTTCTTGAATGTCAGATAATCTATACGCCTACACGTCTGCTGTGATTGGTTGTTGAATCAGTCTTGTTCATATTTTCTCACGACCAATAATTAGCAACAAAGACATTGACGTAAATTAATGTCTACCAATTTTGGCCAGCAGCCTGCTGTCACCACAGTATTTTTTTAACTGGAATTACGACCACTCATAGGTCGACATTTACTGCATTGCATGTCAACCTCAGACCCATGTTCTTAACTCGTCTTTTCCTATTTGGTTTCCACTCAGTCAGTGGTCTGGAGCTTGATGTTAGCCCCAACAGCCTTCGATTTCCTTGTGTATATATCTGTTGGGTGATGAGTTCTTGGTTGGTTGGTTGGTTGTCTGTCAGACTTCCTTGTTGCTTATGCTTTCTCATCATCCATCTAATGTCCAGCATTGTGTCAGCGATGGAGAAAGTTGTTATTGGAAGTCAACAGTTCTCTGTTAAAAATGCCTTCTGTGACGTCTGTCTGTCCTGTTTTCAACATAGAACTTTACACCGATGTGCAGCTGTTCAAGTCGCCACACTCCATGTACCACACAAAGCAAGAGAAGAAATGCGAAGTAGAGACAGTAGACAGGGATATGAGACAAAGGAATAGTAATAACGAAAAACAATATAGTTTCATTGGAAATGATAATTCACAAGGAATGGATGCAGCTGCACCAGCCATTGAGAACGATTTTGAGCCATATCACCGACTGTCTCCAGCCATTGGGTTTTACTGTCACGAGGAGCCCAACCAGGAAGTCTTCTCACGTGACTTGAACTAACTGTTGTGGATTTGATTGACTGATGAAGCCACGTTTTGGTTTGACCACCGCTAGCTCTTTTCCAGCCTTCCGTGACGGGGAGCATCAAATCCCTAAACCACATAGACGAAAAATTATTTGAGACGATAGTTTTAAATATCTGCATCTTTATATCTCATAATGAATGCAGTAAATTTCCACACTGATTTCATTTAGTCTCATAGACATTTTAAAGTTTATTAATTTTTAACTAGTCATAATTTTCCACAAAATTGGTAGCTCGCAATATGCATTCTGTTGAAATTGATTCGACAGTTTATGCCGTTTGTTAATATTAGCTTGAATTTATAATTGGATGGAGGATTTCATCATGGGCTGACATCAGTTAGAGAACCATTGGAAAACGTGGGAGTACTGGACAGGCATCTGTTTCGTCCTAGTTTGGGACTCTCCATCAGTACTCACCCACACTGCGGGGTTCGAACTCACGGCCTTCTGGTTACAAGGCGAGCTCGTAGACCACTGAGCCACTGGGTGCGGGTGCCTACTGATGAAGAGTCCCAAGCCAGGGTGACGAAACAGCTGTCCAGTACTCCCACACTTTCCAATGGGTTCTCTAACTGATGTCAGCTCATGATGAAAAGCCTCCATCCAATCAAACGAAATCCCTACAAAATCAATACTTGAATGTATAATTCACTATCAGAATATTTCGTTGCTTACACTGAGTGTCTAGTATAATCTCCTCCACCTCTCTCATTTCCTTGTCTTTTTTCTTCAAATAGGTTACTGAAGATCAATGGAAATGGGGTGAAAAAAGTATCGAATATACCTCAGCTTTTATTACTGGTGTTTATGGTATGTGGAATGTATACGTGGTTGCTGTCCTCTGCTTATATTCTCCATCGCATAAATTCCGTAGTACAACTGGTCAAGAATTATACAATCGATTGTTAATTAAACCTCCTGTCACAATTCCAATCACTATTACTACTGCTGCTACTAATGCTGATGCTATGCCAGCAGCAGTGACATCAACAACTCAGGATTATGAATTAGATGTACTGACTGGTAAACATTCAGAAAAAGTTCAATTAGTCCCTAGAGATTCAAACAACAACAACAATAAGGAGGGTATACAGTCAAGTTCATCACCATCATCTACAGTTGAATCAAAATCATATTTCCTTACTGATGGCTTGAAATTCATTCGTAAAGAAGCATTTGAATAATCATAATGATAATAATATATGACCATTATGCATATTATTTCTATCACTATTGTGTTGCTCTACTCCATTTAACCAAAGAACATTTTTCAACTCATATTACATATTTATATCTATAACTGTCTCTCCCCCCCCCCACCTCTCATCATACCAACTAACTAACTGATCTCATGAGTTCCTTTTGCTTTGTTTCAATTATTATAATGATTCACATTATGACTAATTTTACCATGTGTTATATCGCATATACCAAAGGTTGCTTTTCTCGATACTTTTGTCTAAGCATTTATTATATATGCATACTTATATATTTTCATTTTGATATTTTGCATTTCCTTCGTATGCTGCTTGTTTTTATCTTGCCAGCTGTCTGGTCTCTTTTATAATTTTTTTCCCGACATACAACTTTTTTGCATGTAGTTTATGCTACTTATTATTATATCATTACTATTATATATTCATACTTATTTAATATTTGAAATAACCTTTTGACTATTTATATGCGGTTGGTTGTTTAAATACTATCACATAGCTTCCGGTGTTTTTATGGGTGTGTGAGAAGAATGTGCCTTTTATAGTTCTACATGGGTTATTATATATATATATATATATTCAGCATTTTTTACACTTTATTTCAATATTTATTTATAGAAATTTAATAAAACTTTAAAAGTTTACTTGATATCGGTTTTTATTTTCTAACAATTTTCTTGTGTTGTGTTACGGCACGCGGTTATACAATTGATGTTCGAGTGTCCACTTCGCGGGGATTCAACTGGATCCAAAATTACTCACGGATTGATATTGGCTATAGAAAAATTGGTAAACCAGTGGGGAGTACTGGCTGGTGGTTTCATCCTATCATCTGTCTGTCTGTTTTCAACATAGAACTTTACACCGATGTGCAGCTGTTCAAGTCGCCACACTCCATGTACCACACAAAGCAAGAGAAGAAATGCGAAATAGAGACAGTAGACAGGGATATGAGACAAAGGAATAGTAATAACGAAAAACAATATAGTTTCATTGGAAATGATAATTCACAAGGAATGGATGCAGCTGCACCAGCCATTGAGAACGATTTTGAGCCATATCACCGACTGTCTCCAGCCATTGGGTTTTACTGTCATGACGACCCGAACCAAAAAGTCTACACCTTCATATGTTACTTAAACTAACTGTTGTAGGTTTGATTGACTGATGAAGCCACGTTTTGGTTTAACCGCCGGTAGTTCTTTTCCAACCTGACTCTATGTCAGCTAACATTGCCCCTCTGTCGAAAGAGGCGATGGCTAGGCATGTGTAACACATGTCCTAACCATCTCAGTCGATGTAACCTCTTAGCCTCGTTGATTGATTTCCCCTCCTTATCTTGAACTCGATCGGTGCCTAATCTCAATGTTGCTTGTCCTATTATACCATTTCACACGGGAGATAGTACGCAGACACCAATGATCAAAGACAGCTAGCCAAGCTTTTCATGTCTTTCACTTCCAGTGGACATGTATCACAGCCATAAAGGAGGACGGAGCGGACTTCTGATCACCAGACACTTCCTTTGGCCGACAGCTAACCGGATATCACGTCTATGTCAGAGATGGCGTTATTTAGCAGGTATGTCCAAAATGAGCCCTCGGTGTCCGTGCTGAAATTTCGTCAGCGGTCAACTCGCTGGCGTTGGCTGATGCAACTTCCCAAATAAGTGAAGTGGTCAACACGCTCTACCACTTCACTCCCTACTTCTAAGCTATGAGTCGGTGTAGTCCAGTTCTGTAGCATCATCTTGGATTTGGCGGGAGCGAGTTGCATGCAGGACATTCGTAGATTGTAGCTCAAGGCGTTCGAAAGACTGTATTTCATCAGCGTTTTCATCTAGAAGGACTATATCAGCTGCATATTCTAAGTCAACATGATTATTCTCTGGTAACAAGTCAATCTGTGTCACTGAAGTGAGTTAAGGTTAATTCCATTACTACATCTACGATGAAATCAAAGATAAATAAGCACTTTTATTTGCTCCCAGTAGTTGAAAGGTTAACGAGCTCGTCTCACAATCTGAAGATTCGAGAACCGATCTCCGGTGGGGTCAGTGGTGCATGCTACTGAAGAATTGCAACTATAACGAAACAGCTATCCAGTACTCCCTAGTTTTAAATGGTTATCTGGCAGAAGTGACTTTTTCATCGAAATTGAAAACAATCAGAATTACTCTTGTAATTCTGAGTGTAAACAGTGTGAGTTTATCTTAATGCTTATTTCATTGTTTGAAACGTTAATAGAGGAAAAATTATTTTAAGTTTCCTTTGAGGAGAAAATAACAAGTTCAGTAAAGTTATCTTCTTCTCTGTAATTTCATCTCTGACATCTGTGCAATCACATTTTCATGCATATTTTCACATAGTTGCAATTACTATTATTTCCTTTAACATGGCATCGAAGTGCGTTTAAAGAAAGTAATAACTTTCAACTTGGTGTTTCGATGGATAATATCTGTTATCATTATTCTCAAACTTCATAAACTTAATCGAATGAAATAGTCTTTTGACTGTGTAGAAGACCTACTATGTGTTGTTTTTTTATGTAAGATTATCATTGAAACCTGGCCTGTCCGAGCTGAGGTTGTGCGTTGACTCTGCGTGTTCAATCACCGCTGTCTCCGTAGGATTGCTTGCGTTCGATGGCACCATCGCGCGAGTAATTCTGAGGTTCGGCGGCGTGTGTTTGGACACAGTGGAGATCACCATTCATTGAGTGTCGTCATCTGGAAACACCGGCTCCGGTGGCTTGGACATGTGCTGCGAATGTCACCCCAGAGGCTTCCGTACAGGTCTCTGTTCGCTAGCCCTGGGGCGGGATGGAAAAGGCGGAGAGGTGGTCAGTCCATGATGTGGCGTCGTGGGACGAAGGATTTTTGTTTTAGATTGGTGTCAGTTGGTGTGTCACGACTCCCTAGCTGGGGTCCGTGAGATAGCTCAAATCGATGGCTCGAAACGTTATCGGATATGGCCAAGAATCGTAATCAATGGCGAATGTGTCGCGATTTCCTTCTTTCTTCTCTTCCCGATGATAGTTAACGAACACTGTTTGAACTTGTTAAGCATGAGTGTTGTCCTTCCAGATGAAGTTCTTTATCCGTTCTCTACTTATATATATATTTTTCTTTTCCTTCCTTCCCTTTTTTTTCTTTTTGATCTATGTTGTTTTATTATTATTGTGTGGTGCATCCTTCTTGGTGCCATATTGTGCCAAGTTTTTTATGCGTTTAAATAAATAAAATTAAATATGAAAGTAAAATATACATTATCTGACCTACAGCTATCATACTTTAACTTTGCCGCAGCTCTGTTCCAAATCACATTCTTCCACTATTCGACGAAAAGTGGTCCAGGGGGTTTAGAACTCTAATGAATGTGACATTGTTTAGTGAAATATAAGTGTGTTAAAATCAAATATGAATCGTTTCTACAAATCACAAATAAGCTTTCTACTATTTTTCATCATTACTCAAGATCAGATGCCGAGGCAGAAAAGATCAGCAACAGGGATCTCTGGCACTGAGTGAACCAACCGAGCAGGAACCGATTGTACAAAAATTATGCAGGAAGAAATGGAGGTGGATTGGCCATACTCTGAGAAAACCATCACACAACAGACCATTGCTCAAGTGGAACCCGAAAGGGAAGCGATGGGTTGGTCGTCAGTATGAGGGTGACATGTAGGAGGTCATGTGAAAAAGAGATGAACGCATGTGAAGAGCAGACGTGGAGCCAGGTGAAAAGGTTGGCAGATAACCGAAAGCAGTGGAAAGGTGCGACTGATGCCCTATCTTCCTCTAGGAACAAAAAGAAACTAATAATAATTTCCATCATACCAGGCTGCATATAGGAATAGGTTTTAAAATCACTAATGAAATAATGGGTCTATTGAAAGTTACTCCCATCTAATAAGACATAGTTCATGAAGATAAAACTATAACCTCTTCATGAATAATAAGGTTCATGCTCAGCGTTCACACACGGAAATATTTGAATGTGATGGTTATGTTCACTTTTTATAAAGTATATTTCCAATACTGATTAAATCATCTTTCGATAAAATTATTAACATTGAAAAGCTAGGACGCTCAGCCTGTTAAATGCAACTGTGCATTGCTAAAATGCAATATGACGAGTTTATTTAGAAAATGACTAACGTCTTCATGGGAATCAACGCCATGCAAATTTACACAATTTTCGGTGTTACCTATTCTCTTACTCCGAGAACACATGGCACAGTATTTTCTTTACTGTGCATTAAAGAAATTCCCTTTTAAGTGTACAGATTTATGGGCACTGAAAATTGCTGACAAACGGAATACTTTCATTTCAGCCTATTGCAACAAGGTGAAGGTTTTCTGTCATTGGAGTCACACCTGCAAAATATCTGAATAGAAGTTGTTTTTAATAAAATCGCTAAATAATGTGAGGAGAGTGTCGGAAACTTTGAACCGCTTAGATGTCATCTTGGCCTGGTTTGATTGTTATACTCTTTGTATTTTGGTTGGAAGCGATTATGTTTCAGATGAATTTTGTTGAAAGGCTTTTATTATAAGAAGGAGGGAATAATTTGAGGGCGGTATTTTGTACTAAGATCGTTTTGTTTTTACCAAAGCTATTCTTTTTCTTGACACACTCAAATAGTTATATTGGTTACAAGGAGTTTGTGCAGTTATTCAATGGCGAGTGCTGGTTGCTTTCAGTTGAATTGTGGTTTAGTGATTATGTATTGGACTTCAATACACGTATTATTTTCCGTCCTTAACTCCTCGAGTTCTGTCGAACTACATTTTATCAGATATTGTAATAACTAGCAGAAAATGAGAAGTTAGAACAGGTGCCTGCATTGAATATATAAGTAATTGATACATGGATTCAAATAAATTAATTTGCCATCCCTAAATATACTGTTAAACTAATCATTGCTCCTAAAAATATTGCGATGAGTGTGTGGAGACTTCAAAATTAAACTTATCCAACTTTTACTACGATGTGAGAAATGAACATATTGTACATTACTTTTTTTTAACCAGGATCTCTGTACTTTGAACTTAACCTCGTTGTTTGAGTAGAAATATAGTTCTGCCTGCACCTCTCCGTCTTCTCCACAATCTCAACTGCCATCGGCCAATTCTAATCACCTAACTTCTATTTCAAAATTTCTCAGGAACACCATATTTTCTCCCTACGTCACCTTGGTCGACTTCTGGTAATATTCATATTGGAGAATTAAGATTGGAGCAGTCTTCTCACAATACTTCTGGAGTCGACTACGTTGATTGTGGATTTGGACTTTGTAATAACCCAAGTAACAAATTTTAATATATTCCTCCACTAACTTTACTGATTTGGTATTTTTATTTCTATTCCAATTTGGTATATTAAGTTAACAGAGTCTAAGGTCCACCACAAATGCTACTGACAATATTTATCAAAGTATGTAAAGAGACGTTAATCGGAATGAAAATATCAGGTAACGGAGTGATAGGATTGAGATCAAAGATTGAAGAAGAAGACAGAGAAACACAATGCAAAGGGCAGAATTAGCACAACTGTGCAAATGATGATCTTCAGGCAAGGTGTGCATCGTCTCCCCATAAAGAGATATTAAATTTCGAGTAAACATTCCACTGCCACGTCTCTTGTCTTCTCTCATTACAGTGTGATCGCTACTGCAATCACCCCTCCACAGAATAAAGATATAGTGTCTGTGTCCAATAGTAATATAACTTAGTGCATAGAAAATAATTTTTCAGCTGCATATTGTTAATCTGTTATGATAACTAATGGGATGTCTACACCCAGACGTGCTTTTAATGTTTCTAAACTCTGAGCTCCTTTCGGCCGGTTGTATTTTTCGAC